CAAATATTGAACAAAGCAAAAAGTAAAAAAAATATAGGTGTTTTGCAGACTGGTCTAATATCAACCCTCTGGTGCAGCTTTCTGTGTTCTTATCTGCAAACATCTGACAATGTACACATTTTAATCGTGTTCACTCACCTGTCTCAGTCAAGCTCAGTAGTCAAAAGGATCAGTTTTTATTTTGACTCTAAAAGGGATTATTTTGATGTTGACAATGTTTTTTTACTTTATCTTGCCACAGTACATTTTCTTCATTGCCACTTAAGTTTGCCAATTAGGTAACTTGCACTCATTTACATTGTAGTCACTGGGCCCACAGTTCCAGTTGAACTCAACCAATCAGATTATTTCTGATTCCAGAGCAGCTCTGCCTCCAGATTTATGGAGCTGAAACTACTACTAGCATAACTGGGACTGGGACTTGAGCTTCATGTTTCCTGTTGACTGCTGAACAAATTCCTCTTACTTTTGCTTTGTCATGTGAATTTCATTTGTCTCATAAATCAGTTGATTTATTTCAATTAATATGTATAATATAATGTATATAATTAGAATTTTAGCATCTCGGTGCTGGCAGAAATAACAAACCAGTGGTCAATCGGTGAAACTCTGACAGGAGATGAATTCTTTCAAAAATAGTTTTTGGTTCTTCTCCGATATGGCTGATGTTTGTGCCATCTGTGGGGAAAATGCTAAAGGCATAACTTCCACTCAGTTTTTGTCTGGAACTTTACAATGGTAGTTTAATTAGTTACTATCACTGTTCATATGACAGAGTTACACCGCAGTGTAAAGTGATAGTTGTAACGTACGGACACCACAGTGAGCTAAAGGAGTCATAGGAGGGGGGATGACAGTGCAGAAGAGAAGGATAATTGGATAAAGGATAAATGGATCTCTTACTCTGGGAAGCATCTGTAAACAGCAGTTATGCTTTATGGGGGCCTCTTTCTGTGGCAGCGGTCTCTACAGGAGAGGGTGTACAGAGAAGTCTATTAGCCCGCTAGACACACGCCGGCTGTCACAAGGCTTCAAAAGCTACACTGAGAAAAAAACACACCACGTCCGCCTTAACAAGTTGTGTTCCCTCGGCTTGGGTTCCCATTTCTGATCTAATCAGAAAAAATGTAAACTTTATTTTTCATGGGTTATCTTATCTAAAAACAAAATGATGAAAAGAATAATACACAACATGATGCCTCTAATTCAGATCGGACTTAAAATTCATTGTTCAAAAATGATTTATCTTTAATATTACAAAAAGATGACATAATTTGCCCTTTTTTACTCTGCAAATCAAATTTTTAGTTGATATATTCTTATACATATAATCTATCTACTGTGCCTACATTCCATCAATAGCTGCACAAAAAATACCAGATACAACCACCAATCTGGATCTTGGAATGAAGCCCTGTAGTGTGAACAGAGCCTTAAATTCAGTTTGATATTTGTCTGGGAACAAAAAAGAGAAAATTCTACCTATTCTACTGTTGGAGGACGGAAGTTTCCACTATGTCAGATGTAAATTGACCCATTTGAGGAAAATAAAGTGATTGTCTGAAAACAAACTAGCACATTTTGATAAAAAAAAAAAAACAATGCGCAGGAGTTAGCGCTCGTGTCAGAAGGGATAAAGATAAAATTCCTTGTTAAGACGGACATTTTTCTTCCAGTGTCATATGAAGCGATTCCACTCAGGAAAGAAAGAAGAAGAAGTTGCAGAGAGTCCAGTTATCAAACATCTCAGGTTCATACTGCTTTCAGAGAGCTTATCCAATTAGCCCCAGTCCTCTTTCTACACCGAGACAACATGACGTTAAAACAGCCACGAGCACTTCACTCAAACTGAACAACGACGGGGCCGTTTCTTTATGTGAATCTCGGTAAGGCGTTGTAAAGCACAGAAGAAGCACAGCATGAACTGCTGGAAAAAAGAAGGTGGCAAACAGAAAGAAGCAGATGAATAAAAAATCTGAGTGTCACTAAAAAAGGCTGGAGATGAATTTAACATCTCCCTGGATTAAAATCGTGAGCAGATGATCATTCCAAAAACTTTTCATAAAACAAATTTAGCACATTAAATATGAAACAGACGTTTGAATGAAGCCCGAAAAGATGAATTGATAAGTAAAATTACACAGAAAATGAAAATAAAGGACCTGTTATTTCAAGCTTAGTATTAATTAGCAAATAATTCTATTATTTGTCAAAAACTATGTTTCTTTAATGCAAGTGCAAAAAAAATCTGCCATCATTCTCGCATGTGTTGACATAAACCAGTCATTTGTAGAAAAGTCTTAAAACAAGTTCCCTCGGCTGGGAAATGAGAGGTTTTTCCCTTTTTTAAAAATTAAGACCAAAGAAAGATTTCTACAAATGAAAGCTAAAGCTCAGTCCCTCCAGAAATGTCCAACTATGTTGTTACTTTATTATTTGCATTAATTTGCAGTATAGTCAAATCCTCACAATATTTCTCCTCTTGGACTAATCTAATTTAGGACACAATTTAGGAGCTCTGGTCAAACAAATTTAAACTAACAAAAGTCAACTTTAAACAAATACATTAAAGTTTGAGGGGGGTTTTGGTTTAGTGGAGGAAGGAGGCTACCACCTGACAGGCTGAATCCAGGGCAAAGAGTTCTTTTTCAGCTACCAGGTATTAAAAGACTGATCAAGTACCTAAGTTATGTAGTTATTCACCAAAATATAACTTGATGCTTGACAGACTAAAGTATCCTGAGGCAAAGATGAGTTTATAATTTGTTTCACTGAAAACACAAGTTCTTAAAAGTCTTAGCAAACCACTAGCATCGGTTCGGTTTTGTAGCCGACTTCGTTCTTACCATGTGTGGAAGCTGGATGTTAGCTAAGCTGTTGATGAGCGACTGGCTGAGGTTGGCCAGCTCGTGCAGCAGTGAGTCATTCTGCTGCTCGATCACCTTGTTCTCCTCCTCGATGGACTTCAGGTTGGTCTCCATGGTGGTGATCTGCAGAGCAAGGAAATCCATTACTAGATGGCAATAGTGGAGGGATGACAAGAGAGAGATGCAGTAAAGGTTCAAACCAGATTCCAACCACGGACATTGTAGGTCATGGAGGTCATGGTTGGAGTCTTAACCCGAGCCACAGGACGACCCAAAATGACACTAGGTCTGGTTCAAAAGTGAGGGAGAGAACAAATGCATCTTCGTCTCCTTCACTGACAACATATGAGTATGTTAACAGAAAAAAGGTGAAGACCTGGAAATATGTTTTTTGTCATTATTTAATATATCTTACAACTATTGTGCCTATTGTTGATACCCTTAATTTGATGTATTATGGTCTCTGTGCTCCCACTCTGTGGGACTAAAATGTTTTGACAGAGCTGTTGTTGCTTACTTGTTGTTGATGTTTATTACCCTGGTTGGATGGTTAACCCAGGATCACAACATTTGCCATTTAATAAACTGTGGTTTGGTGTCAGTGTGCAGGCAATATGTTCATTTTTTTCACTGCACCATCATTTGCACCAAATACAAGCCAGTGGAAATAATGGCTCAGAAAAGAAGTCTGCTGTGCTACTAACGTCATGCCAGACTCACCGCTCTGCTGCTGAGTTTCTTTTGAAAACAAAAACACTATATAACTCAGTTTTCTTCTACTTACACAGTTTTGATCAATGCAATCTGCTCACATACTGTATGTGTGTTATTATCTTACTTGTGTCCTCAGTTTTATCATGTCAGACTCCACTTGATTGTTGGACTCGTTCAGATCTTTGATTTCTTCATCCAGCTGTTTGATTTCTTCGTCGTTTTCAATGCCTGAAGCCAAAAACATGTTGCACACAAATTACTTTATTACCGACCAAAGCAACAGCGAAAATAATCTTAACCTATTCTCCTTTCTGGTTTGGTTCATTTCACCTCAGTGTAACTTGAAGTATGTGAAGTAGTCATCATTACAGGAAACTATGACACAGTGTGCTGGTAGGTTCCCCACTTGTGTGAATGGGAATGAGGTTTTTAGACCATTTCAGGTTCTATAATTTTATTTAATTGATTTTTTTCTTCTGTGTTTTGCTGACCTTTACTTGCTCTTTGCTTGATTGTCAGCATCTCCACACCGCTCATCCTGGCCTTCTTCATGGCCGAGGTGGCACGGGGGCAACCGGAGAGACTGGAATCAAAACCAACACACAAGACAGATAAAATACTGACTGTGATGGGGTTATCTATCTGCTGGAAGTTTCAAGTCTGTGTTAGCTAGTTACCACAGAGATGAAGTGGAACCATTGGAAGGTAGGAACAAGATTTAGAAATTGGTGAGCAGGATCAGCAGCATATAAATTAGGAGGGAACAAAAACCTTTATTATCCTTAGTTATTTAGATTTAAAATCTTACTTTTTTTAATGGGATGTTGCTAAAGAAAGGGCTCAGGAAACCTTGCAGTGATTACGTTTTCTTATAGCGAGTAAAAACAGTGATTTTCCTTAGAGAACCCACCTCCGATGGGTCAGGAAGCTTCCGCTGACGTGTCCTGAGCCATCGCAGCCTGGGGTTGGGCACGTCACGCCGTCCGTCTTGCCAGATTTCCAGACGAACTGAGAGCCATTGACATAGTTGTCCTTCTGTCTCTTTGCAGCCAGGGGGCAGCCTGAAGCGCTGCGGTGTGAGGCGTACTTCCCTGTCACATGACCCTGACCATCACAGCCCGGGACAGGACACCTGAGGGGGGGCAGACATACACAGAGGTCTCACTTTGTTCAAAAACCTCACAAAGAGAAATCTAAATGTTGGGTGAACGACTCTTTCTTACACTTGCATTACCAAGAAACACGAACATAACTTTGATCAAACTATGTCTTGGCTATGATGGAGTGAAGTGTCAGACGTTTTAGAACTGAACTGAAACCAAGAAAGGAAATCAGTCTAAAAAATGATGGTGGACAATCTGGAAAAAGCTTGACAAAAACACAACAAACACTGACTGGCCACTTTTATTAGGTACACCTGTACAATTGTAGGCAATTCAATGTTTAAAGTGCGTTAAAGGTGGTGTTGAACTGGACCACATTGTATTCAGAGGTGTCTCTATATTTTTGTCCCCCACAGCTACATACATGAGAGGGTCAGAATATTAGGAACCCCTCTGAATATAATGTAGTCCAGCACAACACCATCATCACCGCTGAGTATATATGCAGCTTGTAATTATTGGGATAAAACATGAAAATCATCCAGAACAGCCCTTTAAAAAGTATCCACCATAGTTGTGTTCATGACTCTTTTAATCACAGAGCCATGACTCACCACCTCACCTCCCCACCGCTCGCTCTGTGGATGACACCTCGTCCAGACACTTGGCTCTGCCTCCCGCATCCTAAAACGCCCTTCGCAGTGACATTTGGACTAATTAGAATAAGCCGAGCGTTGGCGGGCAGCTCCCCAGTTGAGCTCAGGTTATGCTTAATTATGATTCCACTGTTAATGATGATGGTGGATGGAACAGAGGTGGCAGCAGCAGCTGGTTGCAGACTGACACCGGCTGAACTTTAGATTATTCACAAAGTCGTACTGGCCTAACATTATGGCGCTGTTTTAGTAAAAATGTTAAATGCTCACTAGTGCTAACCTTTACTGGTTTTGGCCTGTTGGGAGGTGAAGTGGAGGGCTGACCACAGCTCCTCTCTAAAATATTCTTTCCTAAAGTTGGAAAGGTCACAGGCAGCATTTTAAGAGACAGCAGACAATGTCTTCACTGCATGTTTGATACAAACACTAGGGAAAATGTACCTGAACACATGTACAGTGCAGAATTGCTGTATTCATGAAGTTATAAAAACTGTTATATACAAAGCTTGGTAGGTTTCATGAGGTAAAGGTTTTGGTGCATGTTAACATTCAGTTACTAATACATTCACATGTTCAAACAATTCACTGAATTGTTGATTAGTCAACAGATGAAAACTCAAGGAACAAAATGATTCTGATGATAAATTCTCATTATGTCAGACTAAACAACATTTTTGTCCTTTGAGGTGGCCCCTGTAACCAGCAGTCCTGGAATAAATCCTCCTTCATGAAGGTGATAAAGTTCGGTTTGTGCTGATTTAGCTGTAAACAGAGAGAGAGCTTTTTCTGTTACTTAGCCTAGCCTAGTCTCTGCCATCAGGCTCAGTATACAGCTCTAAAGTCTCTCAGAAACCTTACTTGATTGGCTCCTGGTCATCCTTGTCCTCTTTGTTGTGGAGGATTTTGATGCCGCTCTTCTTGGCCCGTGGACAACCCGACAGACTGCAGGGCACAAGACAAGTGAACACAAAATAGGTACAGGCACAGGACTGAAAGTGTTGGCTGTGGCAGCAGGCAGTGGTAGTGTGGAGCATTGTTACTGCACCTCCTGTGGGAGGCATAGTTTCCAGTGATGTGTCCAGATCCATCACAGCCGGGGGTCGGACACCTGAGGCACAAACACGAGAATTAAAATAAAAATAAAATAAATAAATACAAATAAAATGTCTGAAGGAGCACTGATCTTGGACTTGACCATGGATTCGGCCCTTGTCTGGACTTGGTGCTGTCTGGTGGTCAGGACCACAGCCCTGCTCTCAACCTGCTCAGATTTATTGATTTTGTCAACTCACTTGAGTTCTTGTGAGTTGGTCGTCATCATCCCACGGATGTTCTTGTCGGCCAGCTGGCAGCTTGACAGCCTGCAGGACGACAGGAGTCACTGAACGCCACCAACATCTGAACTCAATTCACAATTTACAGAAGAAATCTGAAAACCTTTTTACTGGTTTTAAAAATAAAATCTCCTTTTCATTACACTAATGCAGCATATGGCATATGCAATCATTTGCCTCAATATACAGTATGATGTGAAGTTGTTACTGAAACAAGGTATTCATTGATTGAGGTGAGATCATTTTTGCTTTTCAGTAGGTGGGCACTAAAGTGTGTCCTCTGTGTGCACCTGAATCTCCTTTCACTCATGTAAAACAATGGACAGCCTAAGCATCTTTTGAGAGGTTGAAGGTGTTAATGCATCAGACAGTAACACATTCAGCTTTGTTACAAAGCTCAGGATCTAAATAAAGCTTTGTGGATGTGATTTCAGGTGATTTACACATGAGTAGCCTCCATCTTACCCTCACTTTAACCAACCACTTCTACTATTTTAGCAGCTCACTACTATAGATTCAAGACCTCCCTCTAATGTGAAGGAAATGTTTAACCAAAAGTCCAAAGAACCGGTGAATAGCTGTATATGAAAATCAAAAGTGAGTCTAGTAAAGCAAGGTACTGGGTGAACACTGTCGTCTTTAAACAACAAGTGCTGTGCACAGTCAAGTGCATTATGGTCATTCAGACTCAAAGTGGTGCCTAAAATTAAGAAAAACATTTAATGCTATTGTTTGAACTTCTTCTTTTTTCTTTCTTGTTTTTAGGTCTTCTTATAGCAGTTTTAAAAGTTTGTTTGGTTATGTTTTTGTGTATGCATTTGATGCATTTACATACAACATATCTTCTGTTTAACCGCCTGCTGTTAGATGAGACAATAAATGAAGTCCAGCTGCCTTTGAGTATTAAATGCAGGATCATATGACCTGGATGTCTGTCAATCTTCAGGGACATTCATGCTCACTCAATGCTCAGTAACATTGTTGTGTTAATGAGGTTGGAAGTTGGAGCGAGTCTTACGTGATGAGCTCCTTCTTGCTCTCCTTGCAGGGCAGGTATTTGTGGTGTTTGGGGCTGGGCATGGTCACCTCGGCTGGGTAGCGCTGCTCGTCCAGCAGCTCCTGGAAGGGATCCAGCTCGTCGCTCTGGTGTAGGGACAAGAAATAAGCCGACTACAACATGTCACTACAAGCTCCATGGTAACATATTTTCACATTTCAAGTACAAAATAATATTTCCCTTTGAGACAGAGCTGGTGAGTCAGGGTTGTGCATCTGTACAAAGAAAATCCATCTTATCAGGGTATTTTAAATATGCGCAAAATGGGTGGGGAAGGTGTTCAGTTCCAGTCCAAATGAGTAGTTTCTGAAAACACATTTTTGGAAAGGAGAGAGACATACTGGCAGATTTTTCATTTGCAAGCCTGGATGTGAGCCTTCCTGCCCTAAACTAGTCAGTAATTCTACCCTCTGTGGCTCATCTAAACATTTATTTTCACTTTACGAGTCTTTACCTCTTCTGCAGGTAGGCGTATTGTATTACATTAGAAGTATTTAAATCAATTTTTAAAAATTAAAATCCTGTTTGTACTCTGCGTTGGATGACAAGACACATCTGTTGGACGTCCAGATAAAGCTGACTAAGTTTGTCATTACAAATACTGTATATTTCCTTCCCATGTTGCATCTATAAAATCCACTGGAGGTGAGAAAACTCCTGCTTCCAGTGTGCCCGCACTCTTTTGATTATCCCATCCCACAGTAATGCCTCAGTTAGGCAGTGCTACCTCTGCCTGCACCAGTTGAACAAAAGCTTTTGTGGCTGTGAGTGCTGCAGTCTGCTCTGCAGTCTACACATCACACCTCTTCAGTAGGGAGCAGAAATCATTCAGGACTGTCTGGAGAAAATCCTATCAGCCGGCGAGCTCCAGGCTCTGGCCTCCTCTGCAATGTCGTGCTTCATTAACAAACTCAATTACTCTGCTGATTAAAACCTTTTACTTCAGCGCTCTAAATCCAACACAGCAACTGTAGCAATTTGCTGCATGGATTGCTCTGTGTGATATCAGATCTGTGAGGTTTTAAAGCATGCAGATGATCTTTCATGTTTTACTTATGTATTAGCAATGTAATTCACCATTTAAATGCACTGTGTTCGAGCTGCAGTCTGAGGTGACGCAGTGCTGCTTCTGTCCACATGGGAGCGCACTCAGTCTGCTGGAGAGCCCACTGCATCCACCATGACAGCCAGGGGTATTAATTGAATGATTAAAAGTGGACTAAATGAAAGAAGAAATAAAAATACTCCTCTTACTCCTACTCACATACTGAAGAATAAAACGTATCTATCAAATTTCTCTTATTTTTTGCTCTCTAATTGAAGAGCGGACCAGGAAGCAACAAACAAGCAAAGAAGCAGGAGCACGTTGATGGTCGTTTTCCATTTCTGCACTCATGTACCTTCTTCAGAGCTCAAAGAACCAAACGAGTTACATTATATATAAAACTTTCCTGAGCACCACGCAAGACAATCTGTCAAAATAACAATTACAATTATTAAAATCTTGCAGCATTTAGCATGCAATATGTCACAGCACAACTTGTAAATTCTTGTAGTAAACAGGATGATGATGGGTAAATTTCCCACAGAGTAACCATCAGAGCACTAACTAAGGTAGTGAGGGACTGATGTCAGCATTCTGTGTAATAAAACCCAGTGTGGATGCAAAGGGAGACAACCACTCACACCTATGTCCACACAGAAAGGCCCTGATTGGCCAAGAGGTTCGAAACTGGCACCTTCTTGCTGTGAGTTGACAGAGCTAACCACTGTTCCATCATCCATCTACAACATTTGCAGGTTTAAAGATGCAGGGAAAAGCTTTGTTTCTGCTCAGAGTACAAGCAATTAATGATGTGATCACTGGAGAGCTGCTCTTTCAGGTCACTGGTACGCTTCACTGTAAGTAGGAAGTTGTTTTTAGATTATTCCTAAACTGTCACACTCAGGGTACTTTAATCAACATCTTTTATATCCTTTAGAATATACAGTAGTACACTTATCTTTTAGAGCACCTATCTTTGGTTCTAGGTTTTCCTTATTATTTGACTGTTTGCAGTCGTATTTCCATTCAGCGGCTCCAGGGTGAGGAAAAACAACTAAAGCTATATGCTGATTTACAATTTTGGCAAGCACCATCGTGTGCTGTCTACACGCCTTCAGTAAAGTTGGACATACACACATACTGGACCTTTCCAAACTCACAAAAATTCACTCTTATGTATGCAAAGTGATGCAAAAATTATGCACACCACCAGCACCCAGCAAAACGCCCTCGCAAAACACGTCCACAGTTTCACTACGGTGCTTGCTGCTATGCACCAGGGGACAAACATCCCTTTAAACAGCTTATAAACTGTAATCATCTCTTAATCTATGCATGCACCATTTAATAGAAACTCTGGGTTCCTTAAATCTCTCAATTTCACGCTTCAAATGATCCTTACTTTACATGGTTAAGGGACAGGCTGCCCAAATATACCTTAAATTAAGTTGTTACAGCCCTTAATCATAAGTGTGAGGGCAGAGCATGGAGCATGAGCAACATTCAGAGCTTCAGCTTGGTCTAAAATGTATTCAGCTTTGCCCCTTAATGTTACTTATTCAAAGCACATGTCAACCTAATGTTCATATAAAAATTATGAGTGAAATGACTGTATTCTTTTTGAGCCATTTGAACTGAACCTACTGTACATATACATATAAACTACCCCCTAAGTCCAGTCTTTTGTGCTATTGTAAATAAGGCCATTAATCTGCAGGTTGCTGAGGTACCTTCGATGTAGACTCACTACTGCCAACTGATCTTTTAACTATGACCTGTAAAATAAATTTGTTGGAGCATTAAACACACAGTAAACCCTCAAACCGTCTCCTGCAGAGCATCTACATTAAGCCTGTAGAGTGTGTAAACCCTAAACTCTCAGTGCAGATCCTACTCCGTCACCTGGACACTCCCTCTGTGCCTCCAGTGATTCTGTCACTGTAGACTCAGTGATGTCGCTGCAAACAACTGGGGGTCTTGAAAAACTTTAACCTTTGCCTCTGGTTTAAATTCTTAACTCCATCTACACACGTTTGTTGTGCCTCACTTTACTCAGTAAAGTTTTTATCTTTCGGGTCATTAAATTCCTTGTAATTTGATGATAATTTTCTGGAAAGCACTATGTAATTTGGAGCTAATTATAGGTAAAACAGAGATTAATCGAATGGTAAACTTTCATTTCAGTAAATACAATTAATAGCTAACATAAAGTTTTTCACTCAGTGCACAGCAGATCGACATGGAAAGATTTAGAATGCGTCCACAGGCCACACTGGATTTTAACAGACATTCATTTTCTACTGCTTAGTCCCTGAACAGGGTCATGGGGGGCGAAGGCGGGGTACACCCTGGACAGGTCGCCAATCCATCGCAGGGTTAACACATAGACGAACAACCACACATGCACTCCTATGGGCAATTTAGAGACACCAATCAACCTAAGCTGCATGTCTTTGGACTGTGGGAGGAAGCCGGAGTACCCGGAGAGAACCTACGCAAGCACGGGGAGAACATGCAAAATCCACACAGAAAGGTCCCGGGTGGGGCTCAAACCCAGACCTTTCGCACGGTGAGGCAACAGTGCTAACCACTGCGCCACCGTCCTGCCCTTTTAACAGACAATAAATAAATATTTACTTCTCTGTTCTGCAACAGTTGTGTTTAGCACAACTATGTATATATAATTAGTAAAACAATGAATGACCTGTAAAACAAAGAGTTAGTGCTTAGTTTAATTTCTGTAAACTGAAACACAAAACTTTATAATAAATAAGTGTGAATTAAATTGGAAACGCCACCTGTAAACAGTGAGGAATATACAGTAAACTTTAAAATATACATTTTTTACTTCCACCGTTAAACGTTTTCAGTATATTGTAAACTACTGAGTTTCATCTTACCATCGTACTGTAAACACTGCTTTTATCACGTGTACTGTAGAGGATTAAACTGTGTAACATACAGTTTGTAAAGTATAAAAGAATGTGGTGGTGGTTTTAAGGTCAACTTTAAAATCTCTTCATTTTAAACTCGCAGCGTGACATAGACCTTCCCGTTACCTCTTTGTGGTCCTGCTCATCTCCCAGCTGTTTGATCTTGGTGTAGTCGACAGGCAGGTCCCAGCAGTCGGTGTCACTCAGCTGGTAGCAGCGGCTGTTGAGCA